AGTTGAATTTTCATAAGTGACTCTAATTATTTATGTCATTTAAGATATATCCAACTTAATTTTCATATACTACTCATTTTTTAGTGTAATTAGATGAGATATGTAATTTAGTTTTTTTATATATATAAGTGCGAAATGCAAAAGTAATTGGTTTCTCCTAAACCGACACCGCTCTTACCCTAATTTTTTTTTTTTTAAACTTAAATCTCTTACCCTAATTGAGGCCTAATTTGAATACAAAGGTCCATGGTGACTAAATAATGCATGTTTTTCTTTTTTGGAAAACAAAGAAAGGTTAAACAATATAATTGCAGCACTGCAAAACAATGTTTTGGGAATTTTGAAATCAGCTGGAACAAATTTCTTTCTTCAGTTACATGTCTTAATATTGGAGATGGTTCTTATAACCTGTATCACTAAATTTTGAAATCAGCAAGGTTCTTATAACATTGCATCACTAAATTTTTTGACACACTTCGAGAAACTATTACAAAATCCCATATGACGAAAATTTGTGGATCGAAAGAGGTCTTCCAAGATACACGTTCTTGTTTTTGTTAAACTCGCAGCCCAACAAAAGAGAGATTGTTTCGATGGGGACTATAAATAGACGCATGGACGCAGGTTGTGCGAACTGCAAGAGCAAAGGTGAACGTGAATCAAAAAGACTATTTAACAAAAATTACGGCATGTTAATCGCCCTTTTAATTCGAATGATATCACAGTGAACATGCCAATTAGAGTCAACTCCTTCATTACGGAATCTAATTAACTGTTTCATGTGAGTTTGCTTTTTAGTTTACGGATACTTTTGTTTTTGTTGTCTTCGGATTCACGTTTTTTTTTTTTAATAATCAGTTAATTCAAAGTCAGAAATCGGACCAAATTCAACATAAATTAAAGTGACAATTACCCAAAATAACTCAAAACTATGAAAAAATAACTAGATTAACCCACCCAAAAAAGTATTACTAGTATAACTCAGATTTTGAGTAAAAAGACAATTAACATTATAAACTTCATTTTATTATCGAAAATGCCATTTTTATTTATTT